CTTTGAAGAGTTTTTCTGCATCTGCATCCAGTTGCTAAACAAAACCTGGAAGGAGATGAGAGCCACTAGCGAAGACTTCAACAAGGTACGCTGTGGGTGTGTGTGTTTGGGAGATGAAAATGTGAGATGAATAAAAATCATCAGTGTGTGCCATTTCCATGCTACATATAACTAGGCCTTGAGTTTGCGGTGCACTTGATGCCAGTATGCATACTACATTTGTTTGATTTCTGGAGTGTCTTTTGGTGGACTGGAAAAAGTTAAAACACATTTTAGGCACGGATGAGACAGCTCCAGGAACACTTTAGAATATGTTTTCAAATTGGCAGTAGCGTTTTCCAGTTTGTTCCATCACAATTTTTTATTTTTTTTTATAATTACCTGTTGATTTGTTGAAAGAACTTGCATCTTTTACTAATTTAAATATCTTTACAGAACTGTTAGAACAAAAGTAAACAGTTTTTTTTTATGACACGTGATCATACAGTTTATTTTTGCTACATACAATATCAGTGCGATGGATGTATTGTGTAAAGGTTCTTGTAATTGGTAGCTCCATTGTTGGTAAAGTTTTGAAATTGAGAAACAGACAACCAAACTATTAGGTTTGTCCATAAAACAATATGATTAATTGGTATCATTATTTGTGCTGCTTTGTCAAGATTAACATGATCTTATGAAAACATAACAGTTAATAGAGGTTTCAAACTTCAATTAAGACAGCATTAAGTTATTTGTACACAGTCACAGCTCTGTAGGATTTGTGCCATGCTTCATTGACTTTATGTGGTTGACACTGGCAGGAAGCACAGTCACAGCTCCCTCTTTATTGCAACAATTATTTATTAATCATTAGTTAAATTCTGTTAGTTATCACAATGGCATTGCCTAGAGTCCCATGCAAATAGTATGCCTGATTACGTTGCATAGACATGGAAATGTGTTTTTCCTGTTTACACAGATGAACATGCTTTAGGCGTTTCCTTTTTAAGGGCGCAGATTGAGAGCGGTAACTGCACACACATCTTAGGGGCTTTTTAGAATTATAATTGTTCCTATATTGTTTTTTCCCCTTTTGGATATAAAACATTAACTGCCTCTATTAGCAGAGCCACTGATTAAACTACTACATCTTCATTTGGAGATGATTGGAGTGTGGATGAAGATGAAAAGCTTCCTGTAAACTGGCTAATGTTGAGGACAGGAAATATGTGTTTGTGCACTGCCAGACGTTGATAGTAATTAGGTGTTTATGACAAATATTGTATGTTGTGTATTCAATTGGGCATCAGATGTAGCAGTCAGCAGATGCCGCATCCCTTTTCCTTGATTTGTCAAATAAATTATCATTATCTTATTGTGTCAAATACCCCGTGTCCAAGCTGTGGCCTGAATCCTTTGCTCATATTTACTGACTTTGATCAACATTGAAACGGTTCCTCACACACAAATAAGCCGGTCCTCACCTCTGCAGGTCCAATATGTCACAATACTGTAAATCCAAACACATTGTGCTGCTACATCAAAGTGACACTGTAATAGATTTATTCAGCCTGCAGCTTCGAGGAAATCACATTTACAGAGTTTATTTTATGTTTGTGTGAATGAAGTGATGGTTCCTGTGCTTAGATGAAGTGCTGCTGGAGTCGCATCACCCAACGCTATTTCACTATAAGTAAAACGATTGATGACAGCAGGGAACCATTTTGTCATTACCAAGAGAAAACTACTTGAGTAGTCTGGCTCAGCTTTCACAAATTGATTCAGAGTGATTGTAAAATGTGTTGTTGTTTTGAGATTTCTTCAACATTGATCTACTGGAGGAGGCTACAAATGGACAACATTACAAGCTTGTAGTCGAAATTAAACATCCTTGGTAGCTTTTAGATCCACCTACGGTCTATTGAAGTCTTCAACACCATTTGTGTTTCTACTTTTGCCACTCACTCAAACAACGTGGTGGAATAGCTTCTGTGAATGTTTTTTTTTTGGCTTAGTCAAATCTGAGCTGAAAAATCTGGACATTTTTTGTGTGACAAAGCATAACGGTTTGTCTGATCATATGAAACGTTATGTACTTATTGATAGATAGGCCCTGAGTGATAGAACCTTCTCTAATAGGCTTGAAATGACTAGCACATCTCATGTTGGGCTGTATTTCCAGCTAATCTTTCAGCACACTCCTCCCCTAGCAAGAAATCCTATTATCCAATCTCATCCTTCACAACCCTCCCTTGAAGGTGAAATTTGGTTTCGATTGAGTCGGGATAGATGATGCTTCGCTTGCCTCTCCCTCTCTCCCCCCTACCTCATCTTTCATCACATGGTACCTTGGGATTTTGGAAATTCAGCAGCAGCTTGTCGATATTAAGTCTGTTTGCTCTCGAGGGCTTCCTATCAGCTAAATGGTGCGTGCAGAGCTCTGCGCTTCCAGCCTCTAACGCTGAGTGTCTCAGTTTGTATCCTCTCTGAACTCAGAAGCACTCTGGGGACCGTCAGCCCCTCTGATGATGTCTGAAAGTTGACATGTTTTACCTAATTCTGTCAATGATGAAGTTGTTAGAGTTGTTTATCTTTAACTGAAACAGTCATTGACTGCACATTTCATCAAATAAAATGTCCAGAAGATGGAGAGGAGGAGGTTTTCCCTCAAAAAAGGCACACATATATCCCAATAAACCATGACTATTAGCATGAGCAAATGTATATGAACATTTTCAGTAATGAAAGTTATTTATGTGATCAATAAAGTGATGGTAAAGAAAAATCAACATTTAAAGTCACAGCAGTTAGTGCCTTTTGCCTCTCTGGCTATGATGCATGTCCCTGAAAAGCCAAATACATTATTCGGGGTATAATTATTAGGAGTGGAATTTAATCAAATCCTTAAGATTAGATTTGACAAAATTGGATAAAAGATGTGCATAAGTAATGAATTAGGGATCAACCACCTTCTGGGAAATGTAAACAACGTTTTCCAACTTAAATCCAAACAGTTCAGCAAATTTAATTTGATAAATGAATGCATACGCCCCAACATTAGAGGCCTCAAAAGTATTGAAAAATGTTGCAGAAGAGAAGAAGGACTTTCTTAAAGCATTTGGCAAATACAATGAGATAACTGAACAATTAAAAATGTTATGGATAACGGAATGGGATAAGATAAATGGCTTATATTGAATAAATATAGATTTTGTAGAGTAATGTAAAAACTGACTCTAGAGTAATAATGTCATTGCTAATACTGACTTGTATTAACAGTGCTGACTCACCTAGTGATGGATGGTTCTGGCAACAGAGGCTAGGATCAGTAATACATAATAGTAATGCTGTTCATCCCACTTCCACTGATTTTAATCACAGTTATTGTCCCTTTTTAACTGCAACCAATCGGCCATTTAAACTGGCTTACTGTCTTAGGCAATCAGTCATGTAATTGGTTATTTGGGTCTCGGTCGACTTAGAAATATATGGTCTTTTCTGTGATGGTGTCTTGATGAGAAATATGTTTTAAGTAGTCATTACTCATCGTTAGAAGAGGATAGTACATCATTATATTAACAAATGTGTTGTGATGTTTGGTAAGCGACAATCTTACAGCTCTTTCTTGTCTGTTATAAAAGTCTGTTATTATGAATGCAATGCTGCGTTCAATATATAATGTACATACAGTACATGAGGATATATCCTCTGTAGGGTGTGAGGAAGGATAATAAGCACAGATATTCCTGAGGGCGTCCGCTTCAGATCGCGGCTGGCTGTACGGATAGATTTCCCTGCAGCTCCCACAGTGGCTGCCAGACACCGACAGCACTGAGCTTTCTGAGGTGTGGAATACTAAAACACCTCGTTGGGGTTTCATCGATATTTGGATGTGCGCGGTGCTGTGGCCTTCAAGTATGTGCTTGAGCATTTCTTAAACGCTGAAGGCTCTCTCTCTTCATGGCTGACTGAGCATGTGCCCTGCACACAAAGACAGGAACACACACACACCCACGCATGAATGTATGCTCATTAAAGACAAAGCCACACAGCCTTAAATGAAGCTTAAAAATACTGTGGCACTGAAACCCCCCTTCCCCACACACATGCACGTATGCACACACACGCACACACACGCACCGACACACACACCGTGGTGAAGCCAGTTTGTATTCTGTCTTGTTTGCTTTCAGAATATAGTGCTTAGTAAAAGAAAAAGTGTGTGTGTGTGTGTGCTGTGTATACGTGATGTGTGTGTGTGTTTAGTGGAGGAGAGTCTGATGCTCCCAGGGCACAGCTCCGACCGTCAGGCAACCGTTTCCCCTGTTTCCATAGCAACCCCTGTCCAATTACCGCTGCTGCGCTGCACTACTCTGGCTCTGTATCGGTAAGACGGAGCCACTTCTCCGCTGCATGTGTACAGGTTTGTGTTTATACATGTCTGTGCTTGCGTGCGTCCGTCCGACTCTTTCTTGAACGGCCGCCTGTCGTCTATACATCCAAACGTCTGTGATGAGAGCGGCTCCTCCTCTACCTCCCCACCGGAGGAAGAAGAAAGCCTCCATCTCTCTCTGCTCAGGCGCTTGGAGGAAAAAAAATCCCTCAGTGATGTGGCGGCTTGCAGCCACTCACTATACCCCTCCTCCTCCTTCTCCTCCTCTTCTCTCATCCCTCCCTCACTCCCCCTCCTTCTAACCCCCCACCTCTACGTACTACTACGTACTACTACTACTACTACTACTACTACTACCTACTACTACTACCTACTACTACTACTACTACTACTACTACACTACTACTACACTACACACACACACACACACACACACACACACACACACACACACACACACACACACACACACACACACACACACACACACACACACACACACACTTATCATGTGATCCACTTGCTGAGCCACCATTGGCGTCTCTGATCGTGGCGTGTGTCCAATCAGGGCATAAGCCCGGAGATCAACATAAGCGAAGCTGAGCAGGCTGGCTGATGCTCTTAGAGTCACAGAGGGAGGGAGAAAGAAAGGCAGGGAGCCATACAGAAATATCATAATACAGGAGACATAGTAAAAAAAGAAACGGGGAGTTTGTTGTTAGTTTTTTTTTTTTGAAGGGAATATTGTAGAAGAAAGAATCAAATACGAAACCTGAAGGAACAAATATCCAAGAAAGGAAAAGGCAAAAGGAGGAGGTGCACGAGCTGTGTTGACAGACGAGTCTTCCCTTATTGTGGCTAGCGCTAAAGCTAACTGTCCACAATCAGCTAGACCACTCTTCCAAGGAGCCATCTGCTCCCTCCATCCCCGTCTCCCGTCGGGCGCTAACAACTCCTTCTCTGGCAAAAGGACAAGGATTCACCAGTCACTGTGGAGAGTATCGCACCACACTTGGAAACATGGAGGTGACATGTAAGTACCAAGACTGGAAAAGAGAAATGGAGAGTGATTTTTGTTTTCAATTAGCATGGATGGATGGATGGATGGAGCGAGAGGAGGTGGTAGTAAAGGAGGGTGAGGGACTGTTTGTGTTGTTGCCTGGCTGCGGAGGAGGAGGATTGGAGGGAGGAGGGTGGAGGGAGAGGAGAAGAAAAGGCAGGGATGGAGAGGATGGGACGGGGCAGAGCGGAAGAGAAAGAGGAGGGACAGATGGGTCCGTGTGGATCACAGCCTTTCATTAAAACACAATCTGCTAGAATATAATTTCATCCTCTCCACATCAACATGCAAGCATACACACCTACCCCCACTTCAAACTCTGTGTGTGTGTGTGTGTGTGTGTGTGTGTGTGTGTGTGTGTGTGTGTGTGTGTGTGTGTGTGTGGGGGTTGGGTTTTGTTGTTGTGAATGGGATTACTCCACTTCCCCAACACCCACCGTTTGTCACCAGAGGAATCCAAAGCCACTACTACTAATCTCCTCCCTCCACATTGTCTCTCGCAGCCTTGGACGAGCTTCAACCGGTGTTTTAGCCGGAGGGGGTTTGACACGGGATTAGAGTGGGGTCAGCCCCGGAGTGTAGAGCAGGACTCTGTGAAATACTGCCAGAACCTGGTTTGTTTTGGACAATACACAGTTCAATCGTATCCACTTCCTGTGCTTTTAAACATGGCTTTGAACAGAGGGACTACATCTTGGCTGCGAGGTGACCTACTATATTGATTTGTGCTGAATTGTTTAGCTTCAGTTGAATGACCGAAATATCCATATAAATAACATTTGCCTGGTGCAGGTTCTCAAATGTACAGATGGATTGCTTTTCTCTGCATTATATTACGTTTCTCTTCATATTAAACAATTTGAAAAGGAAAATTAGGCTTGGAAAAAAAGTGTGATAGCTGTTTTTTGTTGTTTGTTCAGACATTTATTAACAAACAATTCATTTGAAAGTATAAATGAAAGGATTACTGGAATAGTTTGATGTTTTGATGCGAGTAAGATGAGAAGTTCAATGTCACTCACATATTTTATCTCAGAGACAGCTAAGCATAAAACTGGAAACATCAAACCTGGCTCTGTCTAAAGAGAAAAAATCCATCTACTGGCACCTCTAAGAGGTTTTTACCAAAATCTAAGTGTAAACCCATTGAGGTTTTACCAGAGTGCTGGACTATTTCTTGGTGAGGCCCAGGGTAGTCATTTCTTCAGTCTTTATGAGAAGTTAAGATAACCTTGTTCCAGCTTAATACCGAACAGACAGATGTGTATATACTGTTCTGTACATGGTGAGCCAAGTTCAATCACTTAGAAAAAAAAATTGCTGTGTGCTTCAATGTCCTGTGAAAGTACCGTACTTTTAAAGCAAGAAACCTTGAACCTGGTCACCTCGCACTTCAGCAAAAATAAACCTTGCACAGATGTGAATCGTGCAAGTGAATGAAATATGTTTTGTTGTTCTTGATATTTCATTTCTGCTCTGGTCTGAGGTGAAACAGAGGAGAGTCTGCTTGTTCCTATAATGTTAGAGACTCACCTGTCCAAGTGGGATTACTCACATGGCAGTCCACAAACAGCCCCAGCAGCAGACAGACCCTCTCATTAGACATCAAACACTACTCTGTGTTTGGCTACTGTTAAACAACATTGCGTTTTGTTAGCATTTCTTTTCTGGTTTTCTTTTTACAGCAAATCAATTTACGGACAATCAATGCAAACGAATGCAAATGTGGTCTGCCTCTGCTCTTTAGAAAGGGGGCAGTTCCTTCACTTTGCCAGAAGGTCAAAATGCATACATGATTCATGAAATGGGTGCTGCTGATGTGTCCAGTCAGAAGTGATGTGACAATACTTTCAGACAGTGTGCGGGTGCCAAAGGTTTTGGGTAGATGCCATCTTTGGATTTTAAGAAGCAGCCTGGGACGATGTATTTTTTTTGCTGCACACGCTGCGATCGCTGCTGTCGTGCTTTGCATGAATCGGTTCATCTATGTTTCGTATCGGGACACACAAACCCCCCTCCCCCACTCCACTCCTGCTACAAACCCTGTTGTTTTCTTATTCCATACTGGTTTCATTTTCTTCTACTACAGATCCTTCCTTACCTCTCCCCCCCTTATAGCTCTTTCTTCTCTTCTTTTTTCTCCCTCCTGTGGTATCTCTCCCTCCTTTTCTTCTCCTCATTCTTGTCTCACGACCCCCCTCCACCTCTTTTGTTGAATTCAGACAGGCTATTTATATCTTTCTGCCTGGCTGCCTCACCTCCCACTCCCTTAACAAGGTTGGCTTTATTGTTTTTGCACGTGTGTATGCTCACTCGGACAGTGCATTGAAGTGTCTGTAAATGCATCACAATCAATTGGGGTGTTTGTTGTGTGAACCCTTGTTGTTGTGTGTATGGTTTTATGTGTGTCTATTTGTTTGTATTGGCCTTTTGTACATGAGTGTGAATTCCAAGCTGTTCATGTTTCCAATGACTTGTTTCTTTTTCTGTTCATTTGTTTGAGTGTGTGTGTATGTGTGTGTGCCGAAGGGGGGTCTCTGATCTTAGGCAGCAGTGAGCTCACTAATCAGACCAGAGAGGTCATCAGCCATTAGCATCAAACCATCAGAGCTGCACGAGCAGAGATGCAGAGCTAACACTTTGTTTTGTTGTGTGGCAAGATGAGGATACTGCTGTCCCATCCTCACAGCGGCAGCATGGGAATCAGCAGGGCTTCTGGTTTTTTAGTTTATTTATTCATCTATCTTTTTATTTATTTACATCTCTCTGTTTATTGATAGGTGGTGTGCATTTCTGCGAAAAATAAAATCCGTTGTCATCATTTTTTGCACAGCAGTCCACACAGTATACACTTTGAATTCCTTGCATGCAATGAATCTTCTCTAGAAAAGCATGTGTGGGTGTGTCATATTGTGGATATGTGCTGCTGTAGGGCTCATCTGATAATCCAGTGTTGATGTATCACTGCTCGTGTGTTACATTTTAAGCACTGCATCTGTCATTGTGAGGGTGTGAACGCATGTTACTGTAGGAAGATCTTTTGTTTTCTGTCTGGGGATCACAGTTTATCTGGATGTTTACCTTCTTTCACACAACACTAAAAAGGCAAGAGATCAGTTAGGCTAAAAGACTCAGATATTTCCTCTGTGTGACAGACCAAACATGTAAAAGCTAGATAGATTGTGGAAAGATAAAGAGAAATATGATTAGAAAAAGGAGCTATCCATTATGTCAACCTCTAGAGAAAAACCTGCTTAGTGTCGACTGCTTTTGCAGCTCTCTCCCTAATCAAAAATGGCCTTGCTCTTTGCACTGTCAAACTTTGAGTCGGAAAGCCCCGTAATTGGCCTAATAGCAGCTCTTTGCATTATTCATCCGAAATTTGACTGACTTTCTTTTTTTTCAGAAGGCTCCGGTCGGATACAAAAAAAGTATTAAAACAGATTTTTACATACAGAATTTATCTGCTGTCGTGCATCATGGGTAGACTCTAAGACAACGATTTTCCCTGATGGGAGTTATTAAACAAGATATAATGAAAGGTGGGATGTCCTTGAATGGATGTTTAATCACAAACCAATTGACTAGTCCTCTGGGACAATTAATGCAGAACGTTCATATTTCCTGAAACATTTGTGTCATAATAAATTACTGCAAAGCTGTGCACAAGCCAAGGTCAACACTGGGCTTTCATCAGCATTTCTTGACTTGCAGTAAATGGCGTTTTCCCAGGCGACTTTGCTCTCCAGTCATCCATATGGGCTGTGCTGCACCTCACAGCCGGTTGTTGAAAAAGAGCTCCTCTGACAGTTTGTCTGGGCGTGCAGAGCTGGCACTCTAAATATGGAAACAGCAGCTATCAGCAACAGCCGGCGTCAAACCCTGCATCACTCATGAAGAACAGAGAAAAGGATTGATCCAGAGAGGTCTCCAGATGTACTTTATATCGTGTGTGGACACGGGAAAATTGGGATTTCACAGGGAACGGTCACTAGTAGTTTTGTTTTCTGTTATTGGTGTTTGTTCATTCTGTGTAATGCATGTGAGAAAGGAAATGTGTGTGCGCAGTATAAGTGTGTACATTGAGTATATATATCTTGCCTACAAATACAGTATGTGCTGTTCCCTGTGGTGCAGTAGTGCTGTCAAAAAAAGGTCCCTAAGGCATTCACTAATAGAGAAAAAGCTGCCTTTCACTGCGCTTTTAAAAGTCACATTCACCCCTTACAGTGCCACTCTATTTTATTTTATTGAAATACCCAGATACAGTGTCTCCTTACATACAGCTGTGTGGGGGAAAGATACATAATTTACATTTTAATGGATGAAAGTACTGCATTTCAACTTAGTTGCTCTCAGCAGACTTAACACAGAGCCATGACGGGGTTGTCAGGAGAGTCTAACAAGAAAAACTGAATATGCTAAATATAATCTGGGAATCTGTCTGCGGCGTTCACCTCTTGTTCCTCACTTTATGAAATGGCACTCCCACGCTGTCTCTTGTTTGGCGTTTTATACAACACATCAAGCTGTGTAAAGGTGCCACCACATTAATGCTTGAGATAGAATTATCTATAAAGATTGAACATTATGCTGTGAAAGGTTATTAATGGGTTTGCAACTAGACATTTATTTTCAATATAAAATAATAATGTTTTTTTTTTTTAAAGACATGCTCCAATGGAAAAATGTTATGCTGCCGGCGATGTTTCAAATTACTTATATTGTTCAACCAAAAGTCCAAAAGCCAAATATATTCAATTGACATTTATATTAAATGGAGAAAAGCAACCGGTCCTCACATTTTAGACAAATCCGCTAATTGACTAATGATTTGTAATTATGTATGCAAAGCTAATATTTTTAAGCAATGCTGATGGACAACCTGTAATTCTCTAATACATATTTTTTATTTACTACATTTTTCTCATCTCCCTACCTTCAAGCATGCATTTTTGTGTGTGTGTGTGTGT